AAGGAGAAGCGTTGACGACCACAAGTACTCCAAAGTTGACTCGACTTTTGTTATAGTAGCAGTGTGACAGGATCTGCACGTTGCATCTCGTCCTTTGATAAGACTATAAATTCGCTCCGCTCTCGAATGAGACTTCTGCCTCGGCGACTTCACTAGTTATTAAGGGTAAAATATTGTAATGGAAAGACGAATAAATCTGCGGTGACTCAACCAAACAGCCATAAAGAGACATAAAAAGCCTCGGAATATACCCACTTTACACTTATTCATCAGTTCAGTGAGTAACAGAAGGAGGCGAGAAAAAAACTATTTTTACCAAGACAGCAAGCACTACCTAGTCTGACGTTTGGGTGGTGTGGAAGTTGGCACCCTCAACTCACTGAAACAAACAGAGGGAACCGAGGGTGCCAACCCTCGCATCATGCAAACGTCCAACTAGGTGGCATTTGGAAGCGTAAGTTGCAATGCCATTCTCATGCAATGCGAATTTAGAAATCCCGTTCTCACAACAATTTTAGACTGTAGGAGTCAACAAGCTGGCATTGCTGCCTCTGTTTTATCTCGCTTTTATTTACCAAATGTCCAAATGATTTGCCATGTGAATGTTTGATGTCAAGAAAAGGTGCTAGTAAGTTGTAGGGATGCAGAGGGAATACGAAGGCCAAGGCAGCACCTTTCTAGCCTTACTCCTCCTCCCACCTTCCTAAAGCGTGGGATGACGTCTTCTCATCAGCCGAATTTGCGGCCAAGGCGTGGCATCTTGTATTGTCATATGACAATAACACATCCTCCCAACTGACTCACCAGCCCTTGTGACGTCTCAAAGAGAACACTTGCTGAGTCAACTTCGTGTTGCACGGAGGTCTCAAATGTAGCTGCTGAGGCCTCAACAAGTAAGCAATGCATGATGAAGGATTCCGTCTTCAGGCCACTACACACCCACACACAAATGGTATATGTGTGTGTGCTGTGTGCTTCAGTACTATGGAATGGGTAGTGAGGCAATCGTTTGGAGACGAATACTGATGCGTTCATTTGCATAGCCAACGTTGGAATACAAAGGTACAATATACACTTCTTGTCACAAAGCATTCAATCTTTCAGCGAACAACCGTGGAGGCAGTGAAGAACTATAAATTGACAATAATTAACGCTTATTGTGTGTCATCTATTCATGAATGTGGCAATCAGTTGCTGACTGGCTTCAGCAATTTCTCTTCCCCTCCCTTCCCTTCCTATTCCCAAATCGTTTCACCACTTAACACGCTGCTCAAAGTTGTTCGTAAAATGCCAACCACAGGTTATTTCGGCCAATGACAATGTGGCAGTTCTTCCTGTAAAGATGAGTTTTGGCCCCTAATGAATGTGATGCCTCGCTTTTTGAGCGAATTGTCAGTGGAAGCAAGTGGTTTGATGCCGTTGAAGCCATTTTCGGGTCATATATTCTTCCGATACCACATACCACGTGCCACACCTTCCAACGGGCACCACAGAAAGCAAAATGGAGAGCTTCCATGTCTTCAGAACCAAGCTAAACTGGATGCACTAAGCCCTCTTCACATCCACCGGTTTTAACCAACGCTGGTGCTTTTAACAGTTCCCTTCAAGTCATAACAGGTGACACCGACGAGCCACACGACTGCTTTGGTCATCTCGCAACTACGACAGGTAGCCGCGATGCAGCATAACACAAGAAAGTGCAATCACGTGAAAGTTGAAATAAAGGCGAGAAGGAAGGAAGGAAGGAAGGAGGGAGGAAAGGAGGAAGGAAGGGAAAGGAAAGACCGACTAATAAATAAGTGAAGGTGCAATACGAGGCGAACATGAGTTGGGAAATGTGCTTGAGGTGTTGAACCACCTAACTTGGGCAAAATTGCCACTAGGTCTCGCTACTGCACTACTGCAGTAATTTAGAAATAACATCATGTCTTTCTTTTTTATCACTTTCTTCGTTTTATGACCAATTCAACTTGGTCGGAGTGTTGCTATAATGACCGACCTGAAAGAGCAACAGCTGCGAGCGTGGACAATGGCGACGGTGAGAGGAGGGTTGTCACAAGGTCGGATTGTTCCTCTTTTGATCTCCAGCAATCGTTCATATTTTCGTGCAGTTCTTTACTAAACACGTCCATATCTTTTTGTCGAATTTACAACCAACACCCTTATGCCTTTTACACTATTCTCGAAGCGCCTAACCACTTTACTAATGTGAGTGATTTGCACACACATAGGAGGTACAGACAACTCGTAAATCCTCTCCAGATATGCTGCTCTTAAAACAGTATGGCGTCTTTCTTTTGTTTCTTCTGAGTGACAATGAAAACCAGTAATATTGCTGCAGTAAGTGCGTGTGTTCAACTATGCTCTGGTGAAGCGTTCAGCTGCGACGTCAAAGTCCTTCATTCAAAGTTCTCGTTTGAAGTAGATTTATACAGTTGCCACAAATTCATTTCGCACCAATGCGTGACTGCAAATTTGCATCTTGCTGAGGTATTTAACACCTCCTGCATTTTATGCTCGAAGGCACTTTCTGCAGCAGTAGCAGTGGGGGAGTCCTAAGGGTGGGAGTATATTCTAAAACGGTGATTGATGCTTGTTGGTAATGTTCCTTACCTTTTTTTCCCAATTTAATAAATTAAGTGTAAAATTGGGAGAGTGAGTGATAAATACTCAGGAGTTTTGAAAACCTCCCATTATTTGACTAGAAAGCCCCCGTAGATTGAGAGTTAATTTACTTTAGCAATTTAAATATGCATTAGATCATCCATATGCTGATCTATGCTGTCATTGCCAATTTCTTTTCGGCTTTAAAATCGACATATCTAGGAGTGCATATTGATAATTGGGAATGTGATTGGTACCTGTGTTTTAAAAAACCGTAGCTATTGCGTCTCTTAAGTTACTAAAGCTTCTCATATGACTGTCTGGGGAGCACGCTAGAAGTGAGCATATATGGTGTGCGGTGCGGAGATTATGTCCCACCCAGAGATGACTTCAACCTTAACAAGCGATTTGCTTCTGCCGGAGAATCACTTAAGGTGGAAGGCACCACATCCACTGGGGACTACATTCATCATCATTCAAAAGAATGGCATAATTTTGTTGGCCAACGTACTTTGTTATTTAGTCTTCGCGAACAACTTTGAGTCAGATCGAATGTGAGTAGTGAAGTGATTAATGAACAAGCACATCAAATGGGAAGGGAAGCTGTGAAAGCGAGATAGCAACTGGTGGCCTCATTTATAAATAGACGCCATTCACCAAGTGCTGATGACTATCAATTTATAGTTCTCTGATCCTTCCGGATTGTTTGCTAACAGACTGAATGACTTGTGATGAAGCGTGCTTATTGTGCCTTGGGATTTCTATCCTGACTATACAGACAAACTCGTCAGTATCTCTCTTCATTTAGTTTCCTCAAGTTTTTCTGCACAATTCTAAAGTACACACATTTCACCCCTAGAAAGGTATCATTATTTTGTGTATTTGTGTGTATTGTGTTGACTTCTACCGTGACAGAATTAAAGAAATTTTATAAAGATTTCTACAATTCTAGAAATAGCGTTTCTGTAAGGAAATTCTAAAACATTTTACGAGCCTTTTTCCCCCAGTTTCTAGGAAATTTTAATGTCAATGCTCCGAATGAGTCTCCCTTATTAGCCGACAACGGTGGGAATGCAGTTTTATTCTGTTAATATCCACAGTAAAGTCATAGCCAGTCGCAACACGGTAAGAACGAGAGATTTGTATTAACCCATATCTCAGCAATCCATGCAACGAACACCCAAGCAAATATTATCCACTTACGTAGTAAACGTTGAAGACCTCGATCTCCGGAGGTCTTGTCCCCTTAATTACCCTGGTGGGATCTCGTTACCGTCTGAGTTTACACAAACAAACCTGTCGGCTATCCTTACGAAACATGTATCAATCGTCCATCATATACCCACGAATTCCTCTGTCTCGAATTTTTCCAGTTCCTTTTCTGTACTGATCAATATTAAATTCATTCTATTATCCTTATACTTGCCTTGCAACTCTACATACATTTCGTTTCCCTCCCTACATCGTTTTCAGTCCCCTGAATTCGCTCCAAATTCATCTCGTACTGTCCATTATTCCTTCATCTAATCTTCTATTGTCAACCTACCTGTTAATTAATTTTTATTTTAGCCCAAATACCCTTTTAAAAATCTTCCCGGAACTGGCCACGGGAATGAGTGAAAGCTTTGTCAACGTTTTTATGGGATTTCGCAATTACCTCAAACTTTTTCCACTTTTTACACTCCGATAAATTACATTGTAATTTGGTAACCAAAGAAAGGATAATCACCCACCAAGTATTTGAACCAACCAGGAAGGCGGGGTTGAAAGAAAGTAGTGACTTAAGTGGTTGAAAAAAGGAAGGGAAAGGACATTAATTAGACGCTTTTGTGACCTTTTTTTGTCATGAGCTGGGGTTTGAGTATACCCTAGATCCTATCAAGCTCCCAATCGTAGTAATCAACAAAGACTTCACTACCGATGACTTCATTGCTAAGGTTTATGAGTGAGCACAGAGGGATAAGACGTGCCTACACAATCCTGAAAGCTGGGTGTTGGAGCCTGCCAGAGTGACGGGTGGTCTTCGGCTAGCGTGTTTTTGGTACTGAATTGACCTTAAGCCTTTTATTGGTTATTAGTGTACACTTAAGGTGTATCATAGGAGAATGAACAGAAGCGCGATTTTTGGAACGTTCAAGAACCAACTGTGAAAATAGAAACCTTAGGAAAATCGAAAAGGAACATCTTTCGAGATCGTAGACATCCCCAGTACTAGTGTCCATACTATGGAAACAAGGTTGTCTTCCTAACGTTTAATCCAAACCTGGTTCACTCTTCAGGAATTTTAAATTGTAGTTTGAAAATGTTTTGCCCGTACTTTTCTTTCAAGTGACTTTGCGGTATGGAAAATTTTTCGACATTTTAGGTAGATTTAAATCAAAGACTAATGAGTTTGTAGACTTCTCAGATTGATTATTCACCGCCACTTACCTTAGGGAGCTCATACTGTCACAAATGGTATTTCTAGGGCTGATGGCCGATGGAACTAGATATGAAATTATTTTAACCAGAGAAAAACAAAGTAAGTATAATTTAGGGAGCCTGTTTTAGTGAAACAAGTACACTCTACTTTTGCGGTGCTTTGTGTTTGTATAAAAATTGTTCAAAAAAGAAGCCTTTTATAAGCGCGAAAGGCTTAATTCCGACCGCTCTACATGTACCAAATCGATGATTATATAGTTTTTGTATAGTCTTGTAAAGGTTCTCTATTACATGCTCATAATGAAATCTAAAGCAAACGATAAACGTGATAGTTCTTCTGAAGATTAAAGATGGTTAGAAATTTCAAGAAACGGTCATCATATACAAGAAAACCATGCAATTATTAGCAGAACTTATACTTCACCGCTACGAGCCATGTCATGGTATCAATAAGGTTCCGGGGACCAATTTAGCACTATTAACCCAGATACAGGAGGCTATGATCAAGCTCTGGAGAGAGAAAGAATCACTCGGTAGAGGCTTTGTGCTTCAATTAGATCGCATTTCTCCACATCCACTTGTCCTGACCCAGGAGCGCATGGATTTGTAATACCATACTGCTGCACCAGGCGTAGTCTGTACCGGACATCAACCACCTCCTATTTTCGAGAATCGATGAGATCACAAAGAGGATGGCACGCCTTGTGTACTTTATTGAAAAAAAAACTGGATTATGACTGAATTTCGAAATAAATGCACCAATGACCTTCAGTAATGTTTGCTTTGAATGATTTACACCTATATGGACTAGAAAACGGAGTGTCGTATAATGACAATGGTCAACGGTGAATGGTATTCCTTAAATGGTGTGGTGATCGGCTGATGAAATTAAGGAATTAACGGTGCAACATATCTTCTAAATGTAGTGCAACCTAAGAATGGGCAAGGAAACCTTAGTCTTCCTGAGAAACAGTCAGGTCCAGTTAATCATTAGGAAGTGAATGCTATTTTTATTCTTAAAAATATGGAGAAACACCTTATACTCCATTTCGCAAAACTTGCTCATGAGGAGATTTCATTCTCCAATTCAAGGTAAAGGGAAGAAAGGCAAAGCACCATTCTCATCCTTTTAATCCTTTAAGTTAAGCGTTCGTCCATCTCTGATACATTAAAGTAAAACTAAATTAAGAAAGGCGCCATCCCTAGTCGTGATTACTATATGCAAATCAAGGTCGTATGAAATAAACAGAAAATAAACAGAGGTGTTCAAAAAATTGGATTGTTCTCGAATAACTAATGTACAACAGAAATAATAGAATCTGCTTTGTAGCAGACGATTTAACGAAAATTATTTTTTTTTTGGCATTTTCGGAGGCATAAACAGCCGTCTTCGTCTTGTGTACTGATCGTATTTCATTACGTTTTGTAAGCACAAAACACACAGGATACTTCGCCATTTTGCTTCATGTGAGAAGCATGTAGCATATCTATTTGAAGATCAAATTAATACAAACATTTTCCCCCCATTTCTTTACGGATATTTGCATAGCTGCAGAATAACATCACTAATCATCTATAAATGCAAAATACCTGCGTGTGCACTTTCTAGTGTGCAGATGGAGGTGTTATTCAAAATAGGTTTTTTTGGTCTCAGCCCAAATGGAAAAAGTTATTCTATATAGTCCATAGAGGTTGTTTTCTAATACTAACTTAGGAAAAAATCATTTAAACTTATTTTTGACTACTAAAGCAGTCAAAATCATTGAAGAGACAAATCAAATGCGCAGTAACAGTTAATAATGGTCGGTGCCAGAAAATTATATTTGAAGATAAAAATAATGCAACTAATCCGTGATTTACAGTGCTTTTAAAGGAACACGCAAACTTAACTATTCTGGATCGCTTTTGTTGGTACCTTACCTTTTATTTTAGTTGTCCTTTCGATTCGGGATGTGATTGTCTAATGTCAAGCAAAGATGCTATTTACCTGAAGTACAAAGAGAACAGTATGGGATGGGATGGCATTGCATTCCTACCTACCCTCCTCCTTTCTCCCCTTCCTATGGTAAGGTATGGTGTCTTCTCACTGACAGAAGTTGTAGTGAAAGGTATGGCATCTTGTATCGTCTTTTGGCAATATCATTTTCTTTAAACTTTTTTATTAGTTCTTATGATGTTTCAAAGAGCATATTCGCCGACTCAGCTTTGTGCTGCACGGAGACCGCTCGTATAGATGCTGGATCTTCAGAAAGTAAACAATGCATAATATACGATTCCGCCTGCAGTCCGCTACTCACCCACACACATATGGATTGTTAGAATATTTCATTGGTTCCAGCATCTGCGAACCTTTCTTTCACAAATGTCGGCATTTAATTTTAACAAAGTGGTTAATTTTTGCCACATGCGGGCGATTGCAAAATCATCTTTAGGCGTTGTACATTTAAGGAAGCATATTAAACCCTCTTCTAGTTTTCTTTGTTGAATTGTTTTTTCCTCCCAAAATGGGCGGATTAACTTAAATTTTATAGGCAGGCCATGCCTTAATTTTATTTGAAATAATGTCTAGAAATGGAAAGGCTGATTATAATACTCCACAAAATTTTAATTAATTTTTAAATGGGTCTAGAATTTTGCTTAATTTATTTGGCTAGCGTCCAACTTTTCAATTATTTGGTAAAGACATCAACAAAGCGAGAATAATCTAAAATACAGATGAAAGACTAACCATTTTATGGTCAAAAGATCTCTGAAATAAAAATGGATGCGAAAATGTAATATTACCTGCATTCCTACGCTTCGGCAAAATTAAAATGGATGTAGAAAGGAGGAAAAAGTAAGACCGCAACTCCAGAGGACAACTGTGTAATTTATAGTCATGATAAATACGTTGGAATTAAAGCAGAAGTTCTAGCAGATAACTAAGTGGATACAAAAATGTGCCTTCTCTCCAATATCAACCGTTATTTCTACGTTTCTTATATGTGTGACTCATTTAAAAGGCAAACATTTGGATTTCAGTGGTAACCACCCTTCTTACATTACCTTAAGAACAGATACTTAATATTTGATATTTGTAGAAATTTGCAAAATACATAGCTAATACCAGATTCGGATGACTGCCCCTGTGATGATTTAATCATTACACAAACTTTGTGCTTAATTTTTCTAGTTATTAATGTGATGCTCTCCACCGAAGACTGATCACGTGAAGAGTCAAAAAGGTCTCTCACAGCAAAATGAAGTCGATTTACAGGAAAGCCACCCATTGTACATACTTTGGTTTCCCATTTTCAAGCTATTTTATTCCACTGGTAATTTGCCTCTTCTGTAGGCAATGACGCAAAAGAGATTAAAAGGCGCTGAAAACCCTAATTACTCTGGTTGATCAAGCCTACAAAATGATTATAAAAGTAGATTTTACAGCAGTCAATTCATCAGAAAAATAATTAAATTTTATGTTGGGCTAACAAGAAGGCAAATAACTGTGTAAAAATCTGAATGCGCAGTATATGGTAACTACCCGGTTTTATGTGATCACTTGTAAAATAGTACGTAACAACAGATGGTTTCTTAAATGAATTTGCCATCACAAGTCTTTCCATCCAAGACACAAGCTTACTGCTAAGTAAATTTCCAACGACCCAATTTCGAGAAGAAAGGAGGTCTTAAGCCTAACCACTTCCTTTTTTATCATCTTAGTTTCATGTTATAAATGCCAATCCAGCTTTGTATATGATGTAATTATTACTACCTGGAGAAATTGGGGTAAGGGGAATGTAAAAGATGGGGGCGCGGCATTAACCTCTCTCTCCTTTAATCCAAAATCATGGAATGAAGATTCCTTATAGGTGAATTTTGCAATCTGAAGTATGCAGTGTTGCCTTGCCATTTAGGAATGAACAATCCCCTTTCTTTTCACGGATCCACTATTTCTGGCTGTGTTCCAAGAAGCAGATGGTAGTAAAGTTTTTTTCGAAAGTTTTTGTGTTGCATTTTATCTGGTATAGGGATCCCACCCTTACTTGCCACATGGCTTCCACAGCAGGAAAGTTAGTCGGAAACACGAAGCTGACGTAGCTTTCTGTGAAAAAGTAGTAAATCACGAATAAAATACATCCGCTCGTCTAATGTTGCAACACAACAGCCATTTTTCAAAGTTGAATATTTGGACAAAATTGTGTGACAGACTTTGCAATGCTTTTGAGAAAACTTTGTTTCTTTAGGCACGGTTGATGCATTTGTTCCTTACAAGTGCACATTCTTTCTAACATTTTCTCACTTACCTTTTGTGTCGTTTTGCTGGAAATCATCGTCATTAAAATGACTTGAATGAAAGCATCATCTTATCTACACCAAAAGAAGGTACAATTAACTTAATTTAAATTCTCCAAGAGTAACTATTTTTGTCTTTGGGGAAGAAGTTGCAAATTTGGTCCTTTCATACCATTGTCCATCAAGAATTTTAATATCTTTCTTAATTTACAAGACTTTTTTCTTCAGAATAATTTGGTTTCTACGAGTTCCACTTGCTTCAGTAACCACAGATTTATATCAAATGGCAAATAAAACAACTCTAAAACATAGGGCAATCCTAGAGACAAAACAATTTTTACGGTTTTTTCTGTAGTAGTGATGAAATTGGTTTGTTTGTTACTACCCTCAAGGGGATAAGTTGTTTATTGCCGACATAACCTTAACCCAGGGTTGACCTAACTTTAGGTTCTACGTAGCCCTATTTTAAATGCAATTTCACCCTCTAAATCTAATTAAAATAATAGGGATGCATGAAAAAGGAAATCCTATGTACTACTTTTATACCTTGTAATACGAATTTGTTATGATTTATTTCAATACAAAACGACCACAAGTAGTAATGAAGCATAATTTCAATCTATTATCTTTTCCTTCCTAGACGATCGCAATCCATAAATATACCCTTTATAAAAGGGTGATAGCACTACAACCAAGGGAACTGATCCTAGACATTTTCGTTTCTATTGTCCCACTTCTATGGCTAAAGTGGCTTCTCTATCTTGTCTATGACTATTTTACTTCTCATACCAAGAAAAGTTAAAAAGCACAACTTGGAGATATATTATTAAAAGACGATGAAGGATGAGAATTTGACAATGCCATTCGTCTCCAGTCAATCTAGAGGTTTACAACTTCTAACCGGTAAGACTGTGAGGTTTAATAATTTAAGGAAAATGGCTTTGTGCCGTCTGCTGCACTAGTTTTGTATAATGTTACGCACCAAATTACATCAAATCGAGTAGGTGACTTCCAGCTAAAACCGAGCTGCAATTCGTCACATCCAAAATAAAAATAATTATGTGGAAATAATTTGGTGTTGTTTAGTGTACAGTGATGCAGAGCAGTTGGTGGGCGGTTTGGTGATAACGAATGGTATCATAGTCAGTTTTCTAGGCAGTAAATTTTTTGAAAATCACTTTTAATCAAAAGGCAGTCCCTCAGCAACAATTTCAAAATCAGTGTATTTAATAAAGCAGAAAGGCAAACACAAAAACAACAAAGTTTGGTGATGACCTTTGTCTGTTGAAAGTGTAAAGCCAGTCACAACTTCCCCTTTTCAAATGATGTCGGTGTAACCCACTTATTTCATCATTCACTTTCAACATTATTATTTCTTGCCATTTTAATCTTGAATGATACTTTCGATACCAACAAGATATTCTTCTTTACAGTAAAAAATAGAGTGCCTTCTAAGACGTGATGCGTCCATCACAAGGCGGTTTATTACCAGGCTCAAATTGTCCAAATTGAACCACTTCGGAATGGTTTCGTGTTTTAACACCCCATGGGAAGCAATTCACAGCAATCTGACTTGCATGCAATTGACTTGAGTTGAAGTTGACATGTCATTACCTTTATGTTTGCTTAATATAAATAAAAATTCCATGACTTGACAGAATTCTAGTACATGCTTGCTTAAATAGTACTTGTAGGTGGCAAGTGGGCAGATTGGATCCACTTCTTGGCTATTCTGTTCTTAATTAAATCATTAACAATTTGTGAAATCATACGTTACTCAGTAAAAGGCGCCTACCTGCAAACATTTTTCTTGATTCAAGGAGGTGGAAATGGAGGTAAAAGGATCACAAAGAGAGCATATCACGGTGAACTAAGGAATTCGCCTTTGAATACATGAGTGATAAATTTTTAATGAAGTGACGGAAAATATAAAATGACTGGCCAAATTATTCCGTATGAAGTGCTCCAGCTTTGAATTATTACTTTTTATTGCAAAAATATAAGAAGGCATAATAAATGCAATTAAATTTGATTAGCATTATTTTGTGTGTTCGTAAAATTCTTTTATGAATCATTCTACATTATAATGCATTTTTTGCAAAACAGATGCTCATTTTCTAAATATTTTTTTCGGAAGCAGGATGAATAAGCTAAGTTTGTGGAGGTTAACGAGGCATTAGAAGGGGTAACGAGTGGAATGGCAGAAAAATCACGATCTTGCTGTTAATGGTAATGCGTGTTTTAATTCCTTGCTAAACGCGATTCTGCTTCTAGGAACGAAGTATTCTTAACAAAATGAGTTATTTTTAACCAAATGTGCCTGCCTGTTGAGAAAAAAATGAACGTTTAATTATACCGGAATTTACAAGAAACATTGAAACGATTGGCAGTAATTTAACCTGGTAATTTGACCTCCTCCATAAATGGCGTTAACCATCAAAAATGGCTACGATCCCACGTGGAGGAGCCGAGGTTTACCTTTTAGTAAATGAAAATGCTTGCCTTATTTTTCACACAAACTCTCGAAATAGTCAACTGAAGTTGCTGTTAACGCATGGATTGAGAACGCCGTTTTTTGTATTAAACTTGCCTCCAAGCTTTTACATAATCGTGTAATGAATAGAGACTTCCTTAAATGTTCATCAAACTAGGTAGGCTCTTTGATTTCCTCGGCTTACACAACCACTCTGGTGGCAATTTTTAAAGCTTGTGTCTATAGCCTTTCTTCGTCCCTCTCCTATATTGATATGTTTCGCTACAAGGCAAAAGAAGACTCAAGAAGCTGCATAGAGTGTTCTGACTTTCCTAATTCGATTCCCGTAGATTACTGAGTGCAGTATCCTTGAGAGGGTTATTAAAAGGCATGCTCATGACATTAAAACGTTTGTCTAAGTTGTATTAAAGAACCTACTCACAATGTCTCTGATCTTTTAGATTTGATTTTAAGTACACTTCAGAAATATCACTGAGATAGTAATGTATATGCGAATGCCAATTAGGGAGAACTTCGTCAACCACAAACAGCTGTGGCCTTCCTCCCTCTTACTCGTCTTGGGCAAAATAAAACAACATATGGTGAGGTAAGTTTCATTTCTGACATCATGCTACTAGAAGAGAAATTAGGCTAGATTTCTATTGCTTTAAAATGCTGACAAAAAAGTTTATTTTACTTCTCAAACCTAAATCTGTACATTCAGTCTTCATTAGCCATTTGTTAAAGAATTCCAATGGCATTTTAATAGTTTGTATTTAAATATGGTTATTTTGGTGAGGCGACTGATAATATAAATAAGTACAGTTAAAGGCCTCGTAAAGCCTTTTATCATTGCAATCTATAATTATGATTCTTTCAAAAAATACACCGGATCGGCATAAATTTCACTTTTATTATGAATTTACCCCTAGCCAAATCCGCTAATTGCCGTTACTTTACAATTGTCTACTCTGTTTTGCATGTGATCAGGGAAATATCCCCCTCCCATCCTCCCTCCATTTCTTCCATCCTAACATGTGATTTAAAATTCTTAGTAGTCTTGTCCTAACATCTTCATCCTGCTAATCAACGGTTCAGATCCTCCATTGAGCAGTACCGTATCGTGTAGGTAAATCTCAGTAGACACTATTATTTGTTCTCCTCAATAGACAGATAACTCTAGGTAAACACTTACCAATGGGGCCCAGCACACATGAAGCTACCATGGTCTTCTGGGTATGGAGCGGTACGTGCCTTAGAAGTATCGAATGGGGTTTTACCTGGATGCTTTAGTGGGTGACCAGCGGTATGTTCATGGGACTGACATTAGAATGCCGAAGTCATTTCTCATTATGGTTAGTTAGTTAGCTAGCCGACGCAGAATCTCATAATTGCACATTTTATTGCACAAGTGAGAGAAGTCCCTAAGAACGAAGTAGTGGCCTTTAGAAGTTAACTTTGTGCAATGTCATGAATGTAAGTGGTGATCTATTTGTTTAGCAACTTTCTTACGACTTCACATTTCCATTCGTTTCCTTCTTCACGTTAGGCAGAACCATGAGTTCTTGACTAGTTAAACTTCTACAATTTCTTTAAGAATTTAATTGCGCGTAACTGCCATTATGAAGAATAAATGGATCTTCTTGTATGTAAAAGCCTCACCAGAAATAAATTACTTAAGCTAAACCATCACTAGGTTAAAAATAATTCTGCTACCACCTACTGTACTTTCTTCAAATGATTCAGAGAAAATTTGACTCAAAGTTCTCATTGCTTCGACAAGCCTCTACCAGTAAATGTCATTAAATAAGACAAGAGCAAAATTTCGTGAATTTTTAGACATCTGAACAGCAAAATACGCAAATTTTTGAAAAATGCTAACAGCGACTTCAGTGGTGTGTTAATGATTTGACGTAAGTATTTTGCAGAAAATATAACCCAATTGCGTGCGAAATTCGTGCCCGCTTATAGACTTGAAATTGACATAGCATTAAATGTCCCATGTGCTATTTCCGTTCCCATTGATGTGACTGTTTAAAAATGGCCAAACCTGGGCTTACAACTACATTAAGTTGTATGGAAAATAAATATTTCTTTTGCTTAGGTTGTTTAAATTTCGTCCACGTTTCAAAAAATTAGGCTTTTACAGTCCCATTTGAAGCAGTTGTTCCGGATAATTATCTGAAATCTTTGTGCTGTTTAAAAGAAAGTACAATAGAGTGCTCCCAGTGGCGAATTTATAAGGAAAGAAAGTAATCTTGACGCATAAGTAAATATGGAAGTTGTTTACGGTGATGCAAAGGTATCAAAGAGTAAAAGACCCGCCTTTAATCCGGCTTAAATGAGTTTTTGCAATTGCAGATTAAGAAAGATATTAATAAATAACTTGTCTTACGAGTTGTTTACAGTTATATTATGATTTGAGCTCCTACACCGCAGACATGGACTATGCTGAACGTGTTGCATCCACTTTCACCACCAGAGTCCAAGTATCTGGCTGAAACAATATCGAGACAAGGGCATGTTCTAACACCCCACACAATGTACTTGTATCGCATCCTTCAGACCCAGCTGACATTATTCATGCACGACTTAAAAATATGGTAAAAAATGCACAACAAAATAGGGACTATTAAGGCACTAACGCACATCTGTGTTTCATATTGGTTGCTAAAAAGGATTTGACGGTTGTCAACTAGTGAAAGTGAACCACTAAAATGAACAATGATGGAAACCGAAACAACATTTTGGCCTACATGAGACATGACTGAAATAGCAAGAAATGATGCGGAAGGAAGGGATTAAACTAGAAGGCAAAGCTAAAAACCCTGTTATATGGTGCTTTCGTAAAACACAGCTCTTGGACCACTTGAATAAACACATCGGCAAAAAAGCAATTGACGTGTAGAATATGTGCATTATGTGAAATATATTAAGTGGTAACGCTTGGATGGTGGTGCAAACAACGTGCATATCAAAGCAGGACTCTCAAGCCTGCCATTCATGCAAATTTATCAGTATTCATCTGAAACCGAGAAAGCTTTGGCACAGACAGTCTTGCCAGTATGGATGAACCGTGCCAGGTGAGCTCAAAATCCGTGTGCAGGCCACTACTATCATAAATAGGGCATACTTTTCACATTTAACCTCACATAACATCTCTTTAAATTGTAAATACACATTAACAACCCTGATTTGATATTGTAGGCTCTCATTGTTCCCAAATGCTATGATTTGGTGAAGATGTTACCCCTATGAATTCAAGTGTCACAGGACATGCCAATCGCTGATAAATTTCTTTAAAATTTAAGAATTTTAAGCTAAACTCCTCTTTTATCAATTATTTACTTAAAATTTAACGAAGGTAAATAAAAAATGCTGCTTTTTTATATCATTGAGAAGTCAGTAGAATCATTATCCAAATGGTCTGCAAACCCAAAAAGCTGCTTTCCTTCCAAAACAAAATTCCCTTAAAGTTGTGGAAAAATGGGCCAATGATAAAATTTAGAAGAGATCCACAGAACAGGCGCGGTTCCGTGACAACATCATCTCCATTTGATGTGGTCATAAAGTGCTGTTGTATTGTTTATTTAATTTGCTTTAATTCGACTGGACATGAGCTAAAAGTTAAAGTGAGGATGATGTTTAATGATTTGGGAAAAGTTGTAGGTTTCTCTCTAACGTTAAAATCTTTATTTGGTTAGTCAATCGCCAAAAAAGGATAACAAAGGGGACCTGCATAGTGTGGAGGAAGTGTAGAACAATGCATTAAGAGCTGCTTAGGTTTATTACCCGCTATCAGTTAATGAATGTGGCACCCATCTGCTTCGCAACCTCAAACCTTTCCCTCTTTATCTGATGCAGACTCATTCAAACCGCTCCAACACTTTACTAAAATATGTCTGAAAGCCAAACGATTCATTAGTATATTCAAATTTCTAAAATCATTAAATAAGCGGTATATTTTATTCACGTCTGAAAGCAAGCTTCTGCAGCTTTGGTACCTATTTAAACCCTGTTCCTAAGGCACATCTAACAAAGTTTTATTATGCAAAAGTGGAGAGTAGAACAGAGGATACGGTGCTGCTCCACTTGGACATATTTGACATCTCAGGTTTTTCATTGCTACTGCTATTCATTTCAGCTAGTCACCGCGATAGCTGTGAAAATCACTTTGTCATTTTTGGCTGTCATCCAATTAAGTCAATCCATAAAATTTATGAATACAAACTTTTTCTATCTAGTAATTTATCCATGAATTATTAGTATTCGTAAGAACAAAGCTTATTTTGGATTGTTTTGAGGCAATCAATTTTTATGTGTCAAATTTGCCAGAACACCAGTCAAAATCTGCTTGGCTAAAACTTTGTATTTTCTGCATATTGCGTCCTCAGTGAACCTCCAAATTAGTTACTCTAATAATTTTACTTTCGATTAAAAAAAAAGAAAACAGTTCATTTTATGCGTATTTGGTTAAACATGACAATAAAGTTTGAAAAGGCTGGGAGAAAATGCGCTACCATTGTTTGCAAAAGGGAATTACTTGCTTGCAAAGAGAGATCTATTTTAGATTATCATTAGATTTGCCATCCTTATAACCACTGAGGATATTAGTTTGTTACAGAGGGTTGTCAAGGGCTTGAAAAACCTTGCTCTAATTAGTGAAAATAAAGCGGAAAGTGTGCTCCTTATCCGAAGATTTCCTCAGGTGATCCCACGGTGATAAATAATGTAGGCGTGACATAAGTAACTGGAGTGGAAGGAAATGGTGGATGCTTTATGGGAACGGGTAATCCGAAGTTTAGCAGCAGTTTTTACTTCAAAAGAACTTTGGAAAAATAAGAAAACTGGTTGGATGACAGAGGAATTAGTCCTCTTTATGTGCATTTTTTTCCTCTTGAAATCAACGCACTTACCTGATTTAGCGGACTCAGGTTTACCCATGCTGCATGCCAAATTATGCATTTTGTCTACCTGATGAAATGACAGTGTAGTTTGATGAGGCATAGGCTACGAAAATTGATAGATAAAGGAGGCAAAGGTTTAACCAACTTTATTTTGGTCCTTATGATGAAGTAGATAGCTGAATATATGATTAAAATAAGGGACAATATGTATATGGATGAGCTGAAAGTAATTGCGGTTCTCTTCAACTATCTTGATTCTTGGTAACATCGTGAAATTGGCTAAAATCTGCCGTAAGGTGACTACAATATAAGTTTGTTTGACAAATTTCCCTAAGGATTTCCTTTACACTTTCACTTAATATCACCTGTAAAATATTAGGCTTCTCAAGTATTTACCTGTTGAGTATCAATACCTTGACAGGGCACTCCTCCACCCTGTGGAGGAGGTCGGTTACAAAGCCGAATCCTGCGACGGCTTCCACGTCCACAGGTTGCATCACAGGCAGAAAAGGCGCTCCATTCACCCCATCCACCAGCAATTCGTGGACATAGGCGTTGTAAAGGACAGTCGCGCTTTTGAAGTCCCTCCGCTGCTCTCGCTGGATCACCACAACTCCCTTCAACCTCCGCAGTACTAGTAGCTGTGTAGGCACCGCTGCAGGGACGGTAACGGCTCCGCTCCGACACACCACAGGTGGCAGAGCATGCAGACCAGGAGGTCCATGAAGACCAGAAGGGTCGACATTCACCACGCCCTAATGCCTCTCCACAGTCCTTCGTTTGCTGGAATCAGGTGAATGAAGACAAATGATGTACCCATTAATCGCTACAGCAAATAATTGCCAGGAGAGGTGAATACTTTTTCCGAATTAGCGTTGTTATTGTTACAGCTCCCACAACCCTGTGAAGAGTAGCATTCACCACATTTATCGCTGTATCAAGATTTACAGTTATAGAGATAATATTTTGCTCATTAGTTTTGGTAACGAATATGTAATGAGACTCGTCTATGTTCTGCATCAAGCTAATTTTAATCTAGTCACTTGCTAAACTGTCCTAGGACCTCTCCTTTTCACTTAATTGAGGCTTTAGAACTAGAATTTTTTGTTTCTTGGATTAGTTTTGGCTACTTTTAACCCAAAAAGCCCATCAAGTGGATAAAATTAACTTGATTTTAATGCCCTCCTTGTAGTGCGTTACCACAGGTTCCCCATTTTAATGATATTCTTAGGGTACTGATTAGCAGATCTGTCCAGATAGAAGTTGTTCTAGAAATTACGATTAAAACGGGTTTATTGTTAAAAACGACTTTGTATATTTGGTGTATTCCGCTAAGATTCTACTAATACAGGGATACAATTATCCTGGAGGATATCAGAAGGTATGGGAGGATAAGAACATTTTAATATTAATATGTAGTGAGGCCGACAGAATGACAGGTAAGGTAACGTAAGCAGAGCTGAACGTAAAATGACAAGAACCAGAAAGGACGTGTGCATTCGGTACAAGTACCATTAAGTAGATGAAAATAGAGCTCTGCAAAGGCTAATTGTCATTTTTTTGCTTTACAGGAGACGAGAGAGCTTTGCGGATGGTAGAACATCATTGTCATTATGGCTTTATTTCATGATTGCCCCATTTCCCTATTTTCAAAGGGTAGGGTGTTAGCTCACTTAATAAAGTAAAATTGATATTTTCGAAACCTAGTTCCTAAACCTAGGCTAAATTTCTACCTGTGCAACTTATAAAGGGAAATTGTGTACTCTGATTCTTTTGATAGCTACTTTTAGCCCATTCTCAGTCAAAATTGGGGGTATTCAATGAACGAAGCACCACCACTCATTAGCCCAATCAAGAGAAGACGCTTCTGTCACGTATCATTTTCTTTTCCATAAGTCACTTTGAGGTATCCTGAATCAAATTAATTACTTCTTCACCATAAGAAGAAAATGCCAAAGAGCTTGATATGTCTAAATGAAATTGGATTTTAGAGGCAGATTAGCCAAGAAGCCAAACAATTCTTAAAAATTATTTAGGCTTTATTTCTTCGTATAACAGAAAGAAGGCGGAATGGGGGAAAGTAAGCAAATACTTTCATAGGTTGTACCAATTAAGGTTTAATTATTTCACAAAACAAAAGCAAAACCATGTTTTAATCTTTGAAATAATCGTCGTTACAATTTCCAAACAAGATACAAACGTGCCGCAAGTTTCCAATTCATTACATCTTTCCCTTTAAAAGAAAAGAATCTGCCTTTGTGCAAACCTTACTTCTGATTCATATTTATCGCTTAATTTTCTAACCCCTTTTGTATGACTTTTTACAGAAAAGATAAGGTTATAGACACTTGCAGAAATATCATTAAGGGAAATGCAAAGGAAGGAGATAAAAACGATGCAGCATTGGCTTTGCTTCTTTCCTCCGTCCTCCTTCCCCACTTACCTACCTAGACACCCAGACACCTCCAATCGTTAAGTGGAATTCCTTCCACGCCTCTTTTGTGTTATGAAGCCTTGCAGTATCTTGCTGCAAAATGACTTCCCTTCTATTGATGAAGCAATCTCGGTTGTTGCTCAAAAGTCTCCCCTGCACTCGTCTCAGGTTCATTTAAAAGACCTCACTCATAGTCGTGACTTGACACTTCCCACCGTAAGTCAGTCAGTCGGTCAGTAGTCAGATAACCAGTATGCAAACTTTCTAAAAACAGCGCAACATGTTTCGTGACATGAACTAAGTGCACCAAAATGGGTGGACTTTTACAGTTCTTGCCATCCGTCGCAAATGTACTCAACGTCCAGGACATTCTTTTACCCACCATTCCGTCATCCTCATTCAGCACTATTGTATACCCCTCCTGGGATACTCATCTCCTAACCTATCTTCAGTGACGACACGACTTAAATAAACACATCGGCAAAAAAGCAATTTACATGTAGAATATGTGCATTATGTGAAATATATTAAGTGGTAACGCTTGGATGGTGGTGCAAACAACGTGCATATCAAAGCAGGACTCTCAAGCCTGCCATTCATGCAAATTTATCAGTATTCATCTGAAACCGAGAAAGCTTTGGCACAGACAGTCTTGCCAGTATGAATGAACCGTGCCAGCTAAGCCCATTTCACCCAACTTTCCAACTCCTTCGTGCTGTTCGCAAGTGGAAAGTCCTCCCGATACCCACCACTGATGCAGAAAATTCTTCCAATCGCTCACCCACACACCCACGCAAACACACACACGCCCCCACATGACTGTGTTCACGTCATCACGGGGACAGTCACTTCTTGTGCAATTCTCCACCAACTTACCCGCATGTCACGTGTTATGCTTTGATCAGACAAGGACAGTGAGCGGAATCGCCACAGTTGGGATCGTGATTGGGAGGAGTGTAGTCAGCTGTCTTTGAGGCATTTAAATTATTCGAAGTAGTTGACTGCTGAGTGGCTGTGCATCCTGTTACCGTGATGAGACTGGACACGAAGAATTCCGTGGATATGGACAGATATCCGTGGTTAGTAGACCTTCATTCGTAGTAGGTTGTGGTATTTCACCATACACCGTTGCATGGAGCCACACACTACTATATTACCTGCTATCATGATTAATGGTGTTCAGACTGGTTTGAGATATCTGAGGTGGCAAACACGAAAACTGCTAGGCAAAAGTACTCTAAATGGCTCCCAGGTCTGTAGATTTGTATGTTTTCTTCTGTTGTCAGTGGCGCTCCAAGAGCATTACCACAGCCATTTCAATTTTATGTAGGTTCTTATAACAAAATTTCCTGTAGGCGCAAAAGTCTCTTCTTTGGAAACAGTCAAGAACCAGTCAGTAAGTTCGAGTAAAATTGAATTCTCACAAGGCGGTTCAATACCCGATACCTCCTGCTTTCCTTATGTCTTCAAGCGGAGTAAATGAAACATTTTTCCAAAATTCGACAATCACAGCAGGATTGAAATATTCAGCCAAGAAATAGAATTAAATGAAAAGAGAAACGCAGGATGTTTTTTTCTTCAAACTGACTGCTTTCGTGCTAAATGAAAACTTGGTGTTTGTTTTTTCTCTGAGAAGGAATAAAAGATGATAAGGATTATATCGACAACAAATATAGAATGAACACCTTCTTCAATAGACTTTAGTATCGGCTATGGCTACACTTTATATCATGGAATTCTACTAATAAAGATGTATGCTATAGGACCATGTTTATGCCCTTACAAGTCACTTTATGGAATTCGGAACCTTTAATATCAAAACAGTAATATCTCTTAGAATTTATAGATATTTTTGGTTAGTGTGAGTTTTTTTGTGAACCAAGGGAATTTACTTTAAATAAACCAAGAATTTGACAATTAGCCCAGGAAGTCATAAAAAATTAACCCCATGTCAAAAGCTCTATATCCCATAGTATATCAGCCAGTTAAAATTTGTCTCGGAGTAAAACCAGACATCTTAAAAATATACGCTAGCCTCGCCCAAATAAAATAACGTTTCATAGGTTCTTTTTTCGTACATTTTGCTGATAAAACTAAAACATGCTACACACATGCGCACACAATAGCCTCATCGTAAAAATAAAAACCCTCAGCCAACTGCATTATGCAATCGGATAGACAACAGCCCAATCAATTAACACACTACGTTGTTATGGATAGCCCGCAGGATCCCACACTTTTAGCCCACTACCACAGGTTTGTCGGGACTGGTAGCACTTCATCAGCTCCCAGACACCAAATGCGTACCAAAAAATAAAAAACAAATTTTCACTCTATACAAATGGCATAAAAGCAGTGCCGATTCTCGTGATAGTTGGGTACCAAATGTCATTAGCTATGAAACTAAATGGGTATCAGGGTTTATCTGCGTTGTTACTAAGCTTAAAGAATATTTCATGAAGAGTGACAATTTAATGCTAAACGTTAGTTTGTCTAAGCTTAGAGCATTTATGTTTATCATGAATTTATTTTGCTGTGATTTTCCTTAAGAACATCTATATCTATCCATTAATGTTTCAGTTATCTCCGAAATAAATTTGTCACTTTATAAATTACTTCTCGATCAATGTGCAGGGGGAAAAACACTAATGCAATTCTATGCATTGCCTGTTTCTGGTATTACCTAATTTTGGAAACTTTTCATTATTCGATGAGAAGTATCTTCGTATTTAAACTCCTGGTTTATGTAAAATCATTTGGGAATTCGGCTGAAAAACAAACGATTTTTAATGGACGACATGGATAAACCACAATAGTGATTTCAAAAACCACACTTAAAATAGGCTATTTAAATCTTCACTATGTTATGAAAGCATTCCAACTCAACTTGCCATGAAGCCAGGCAGGGAAGTGCATTGGCTGCCTTCAACGCAATCACCCTCGGGGCATTTGTAACGCGTAGCTACTTTGTCAGTACATCTTCCGAAGGATCCTGGGCACCGCCATGGTCCCCAAACCGATTTCTCCTGACAATGAGCAATCAAGTCTGCATTAATTGCTTGTAACGCCAGTGAAAAGTAACCGAATATCACCGCTGAGTTAAACATTGTTCTGGTCATGACTCGTAGACAAATTTCGCTTATCGATTATTGGTCACGAGAGGAAAATCGATATTGTAGACGTTGGTATCTTGATAATGACGACGATGATGATGATGCTCCCACCCCTGAAGAGCGCATGACGTGCGACTTACGTTTTTTGGCAAAAAGTGATAAGCAGTAAAATTTCCGTCATTATTAACTTGAAACCGTTACATGCCATTAAGTCCATGCCAGCCTAAATCGGTAGACTTAAATTTAGAAATCAAGGTGATTAGAAGTTCACTAGAGGTAGAAATTTAAACTACAAAACGTGTTACATTTAAATCAGACAACTGGCACAAGACAAATACCCTACAATCGCCATGATTCTTACTTCTTGCAAACATTGTGCCTACTAATAACGCCTTTTAAGATTTATTCTACTGCGAGCAATTATATTTGGATACAATTTTTAAATTGAGGTCATCTGCGCTTTCATTAATTGACGTTTTGCCAAAGTTGGACATTTCAAAATAAATACAATATGAACTTTTCCTAAGACACGAATAACCGAATCAACCATTTTTATTTATCTTTTATATGGCTTATTAAAATGAGTATTTTCTGAGTACTTTGGGTTCTCTTAGGAAAAATCTCTTACATGTGAGAGTGGAATAATAAAAAAGCTTTCATAATTTATGGATTATTTAAAAAATCAAGATTTTGACCACCTTTTTGGATACAATACTCTCACATTTCTAATTAACTTTTGCTACTACTCACTCATTGATTCCTGTGACACCCATTTGAGTATGGGTGATATAAGCTTTCCCCTAATCTCTTCAGTTGTTATCAATTTGTTCCGCATAAACCAGCTCCGAGCCTCTTTCATTATTCCTCTTGGCAGTAATTATATGCGGCCCTGCATCCGTACAGCTACTTCTTAAGCATGGGTGATGAGGGTAGAAGATAGGAAAGACTGCCTCCATATTGCAAAAGCGTGAAGATGAAGATGACTTCTTGATTCCAGCATACATTTTCTAGTTAAACCACCAAGTCAAGGTCCTAATAAAGTTCGTTTTCCTTTGATGTTACCTTCATCCCGGAGTACTTAACTGAGCGAACAGCTGGTATTCTGAGGGAAATTAGCCATATGGCACATTCCGCTGTAAATGGGCATTAAGCCTCCTCATTTACGACGGAGAAGGAGAGGTGTGGAACCGCTCCAAACCTAACACCTGTAATTGACATTTCTCCAAATCGGGCATGTACACATTTTTACTGATCAAATTAACTTACGAGCGTGTGTTTAACCCGTCTTATTTTTAAATATTTGCAAAGTAGATCTGTTTATTATCTTAAAATGTAGTAGAATTAACTAAGTGGAGAAAGATGCTTGGGAACAAGCTCATATTGCTCTTTACTTCTTCACACCGTCTAAGTCAAATCCCACGAACTGGCATGTGGATCGTGAAATTTGTCAGGGTGGAAATGCGGAGGCGTACAACTAAGCTTTTGGGCTAAACCACTAAAAGGTGGGTAGTGGTAATGTATATTTCAAAAGATGGGTTCTTTTGGGTACTCTAATTGCTTTATAGTACAACAAGAGAAAAGAAAGCATAATTCGTGTGGGGGGAAGTTAAATGTACCTGACACATTGCCACTATAAAAGGTCAGAGGCGCCAAATAGCCACCGAAACTCCTTCATACGCGGTCATACTTATGAGTGTCCTTAACTAGTTGCACGCCTTTGGTAAAGAACCGTGAAAGGAGAAACGTTGCCCAAATTTCACAAAGGAAAGTTGGATGTTGTCTAAATAGTCAAACTTATTGGAGGCGAAGCCATTTGGTAAAGGCTGGAGGATACTCTATCGCGAGTCTTTTCCCACGCTATGCAGTAAAACTTTGGATAGGGGGTACATAGCAGGTCCCGACTCCTTGGTTCCTGACTTTGCCACCTGAGCGGTCAATGTGTAGAATTTAATTTTCGGGATTTGTTGATAGTTAATGGGGCCTCAATCCTTCTGAAGTGATTTACTGCTAGATTTTTTTCCTTCTCAAAGAGATATCTGCGCTCTGTAGTATAACCAGTCAAAAAAAGGATGTTTGTTGATTTGGATTGAGTTAGTCTACCTCTTCCACCAGTGCCCCACCCTCAGGCCTTCTATGAATTGGCAATAAGGCATACCCACATCGGAAATTATAAATTGTTAAGGTATAGAGGGACGATGGGGACCTTTCGCCTATGCCTCAGGGAGGGGAAAATAGCCCGCAGGCAGGATTTCTTATCCTACCTCTCTCTCTCTCTCTCCTATTCTAAAATCCACGTTTTTCTGTTGGGCGACTTAAGGTCTTTTGTCGTCTTCTAGAATTAGCACCTCCATTCAGTCTGTTTGGAGAAAAGAAGCCTCTCTTGTACATTTTCGCCATTATTCAAATAGCTCGCATTTATAAGTGGTGTCTAGTCTTCCTCAAATCAAGCCTTCTGAACATGAAGAATTGTTTGCCCCGGAAGTGGGTACTTGTCAGTGGGTCGCTTGAGAGCATACATTCACTTTACAAGTACAGGAATACAAAGGTCCTTTCCCACCTCAACTAGGTCAGACAGCCGACATTCGTCGTCATAAAGCGTGCATAATGGACACCTTGGATAATTTGTTGTCATCTGCTGTCAGTAGACTGGGGACCCATTTTCCATTCACTTCCCATTTTACGTAAATGCAAATGGATAGTTTGGGGAGGCATGTAAGTACAAAAAGAGAGAGAATCCTGACTTGAGAGAAGGATCTAATCCCACTGCACAACGCACCTTCTCCACAGGTCATAGAAGGTTACGGCCTTGACATCTACCAAAAATAGCATGGAATTTTTTGCTTTATCCAACATAATGCATAAGCATGCACTGTGAAGAAGAAACCACTTTTCAAAGTTCTGATAATTCAGGATTTCTTACATTTAAATGAATAGAAATTTGAATGAATTTCTTGCGTCCAAAGACTTATTCATCCAAGACTTTATAGGCTACTGCTTTTGCCTCATTTAAACAATTACTGTTTTTCAAACACATTGTTTTAAACAAATGTTGCTTCATTTTTTATAACTACACGGTATTTTTATTGCCCCCTTAGGGATTTGGCAAGGAGAAAAACAAATTTAGCTGCCATTACTAAAGGCCATATAATTCTCCTATTGGTTTTCTTCAAAAAAAAGTATCCGAAATTTCCATCTACTCGATTTAATTTATGACCTAGACTGAAGTGGAAGTTTCACTGTTTGACCCTAAATATGCTCAAATGATCTGAAATATAATATGTCTAATCGTATATTTTGATCTACTCTTTACTTTTTAGGATTTTTATTACTTCCTAGTACACTTTGACCCTGCAGACTCTCGTAAAACGCTTTTGTTTGTATATTATAGGCGGTTATCATTTAGAGTGACATTTTTGAAGGTGGAGATTAATTCTGGCAAGGTGTTGTGCCCTCTTGATAGTTTGACAATTAACCTAAAGGCAATTTATTTCTGTGGAGTAAAAAAAGGGAGCTTCGAAAGCGTTTAGTAACTAAATCAAGTAAGTATTGCTGTGTGTGACCAGGCTGCTGTGTCTTGTTGAAAGAAAGTCCATTCTCTGTAGTTGCATCGGTGGAATTTTTTTAGTTGAACAATACCACTATCATTGGCTTTTATCTTTTACATGTACTGCATTTTTTGAGCCCTAAAGGAAGTCTGCTAGATCCAGACACCTTAACACGAGAAGGAGGACAAACCCATTTCATGTAGCGCCTGCCAGTAATTTACCCATCCAGCTAGCGGCATCCATTCGCTCGGCTTCGGCTGTCACGTGATCCACAAGTCTCACTACTTCCTTATCAGATCATAATTACAAGTGGCAAATTTTAAAGATGAAAGATAAAATTTTTACTTAACAGTAAGTTTAAATTTTCGCAGGTTTTGTTTTATGAAAGAAGTAACAAAGAAGTCCTAACGGCTTTCCTTTGTGAAGGGCAGACATGCAGCAAGTCCCAATTGGTGTGCCAGAACATTTGGTCGCACCTCAGACACCGGATTTCTAGAAACTTCATTTAAACACATTCGATGCAGGTTTTTTAACAATTCCTATTAATTACTTCCGTATCTGTAACAAAAAATGTGAGCTATCTTAAGCAAACTTCAAATGCAGGTAATTAGTTAAGACCTAAATAAGAGTAAGTTAGCCCTGGAAAAGTTAATGCCGAGCCTTTGCGAACACAGAAGAATAGTCTTTTAAAGGCGGAAAAGGAAAAGTATATTCCACCCAGTTTCCATTTTTAGTCATTTTAGACTAATAAAATTGTTCGAGAACTGTTCGTCACTGATGTGATTGTACTTTGGCTAAATAAAGTTAGCTAAAGATATATTAGGAAGCTTTTACAAACAAATTACCTCTTTCTGAGGTTTCTTCTTTAGTTTAACAACATTATATGTCCGTTTTAATTGTTTAATGATGACGGAATAAAGGTTTTACAATTTTGCTTCTACAAGGGTTAATTTTGCTAAAAGGACTCTTTAGGATGGGAAAAACAAAGGCGCCTGCTTTTTACAAAAAAGATTTAGTAACTGTTGAGCGTTTTTTGTTCAAATCTTTATGTGATTTCTTTTTAAAGTAAAGCAAACTTGCTGTGAGCTCCTCGGGAAGTCACCTCTCTATCTCCCTTGTTCGCAACATGTCACCATGACCTACCTTCGTACCACCCAATTCCGATTGTCCAATGCCAAGAAAGAATAATCATCAACAGATAGACAAATTCCAGGAGATCGCAAAAGAAAAATAGGTTGTATTTCTCTATTCCGTCTTGAAGTGCAGCTGTGGAGCAAAATAGGCTTTTCACTCTCCACAGTTTGTAAGGCCCTCTGAAGGCATGATGGCAGCCTCCAAAGCATTCTATGCCTTACAGATGAATTATTTTAATTCCACGGAAAATCTGAGGCGATCCATTGATAAAAGCAGTCAATAATCACGTTTATAAACCCTTAAAGGCACCAAAAATGTCCCCTGTGAATGGATAGATTGGTACCGACTCCCTTCAGAGGCGTTGATATGACATCGACTTTTGCAACATACCCTCTCCTGAAGCAGTGTGTTTTGCAGAAAGCGTAATGTACAGAAATCGTTACCAAATCTGCAAAGTACACCACTACTGATAGGCAATATTCTCCCTATCAGACGAATTCATCATACCACCTTCAGTCTTGGCTGGCGGATGGTCGAAGCGTACACATGAAACCCAAAGCTCCAGAAGCAGAAGAGTGTCACAGGCAGTGGCTGAGGCAAAAGCTTTAAAGAAGAGAGGGATAAGCAGTGATTTAATATTTGTTTTGATGTATATTTAATCACGCAAGCAGTGCATTCTGCGGTTTGTACTTATCTATAGCTCTCCAGCTCCTTTGTGCGTTAATAATAAATCTTTTTCCATACCGGTGTGGTTTATTGCGAATTGGGTGGCTAAAATACATCTTAGAACTACATTAGGTTCTAATGGGAGTAATTTTTAAAGCAGAATTGAATTTTTACTACTTTTTAGATCAATCTTGAACCCTTTCAATTGTTCAATCTATTTTGAAGGCGAATGTCAAACGCTAATAGCAAGGCAATGTGATAGTCATCAGTTGGAAAATTGTGGCCAAGGCAATGGGGAGGATGAGTCAGTATCTCCCTCTCTTGTTACCGTCCTTTTAAAGTACAACCCTTCCTACTAGTTCTTCTCGTTTACTTTTGGGCTGTATCAAAGTGTATCAAGCTGATGGATCCCAGCTATTATCGGTAGGCCACCATCAACAATAACGCCAAGCATAAAGCTAGCTCATTTTCTAGCATATGAATTGTGAAGTAGATAAGTGACCAAATTGTATGGGTATGTCCAACGGTATGTTCATTTTGCTCTACCAACTTTGGAATGGGAAAGTCATTTCCGATCACATGCAAACAATCCTTTCCCACCCGTGAATTTTTATAGCCTACCTAAAAGATAACAAATTAGTGGGCTCTAAAGGTTGCCACAATCTAAGGTTAATGCAACAAATTGGTTTGAAGCCTCACAATTTTTCCCACCTGATGTAAATTTAAAAGATGTTTCACCTGCTGCGTCAAATATTGCTGGAATATGTCATCACTTTAATCCCGAGTCGAGGAACCATCCTTAAGTGATTCACCGAGAGAGCCTAATTGTTTAAGGTCGTAAACTTTGCTGCCGCTCTTTAAGGTAGCACATCATTACTGTATTCAACTGATCTTCCAACCGTTCAAAAAGGGAAGCAGTACAGAGGACAATGTAGAATACGGCATGCATAGACCGACACACATTTATGCAGGCAGGTACTTGCATTAAGCTTGCTTAATGCTCCATAAATAGAGAAAAGTTGTGAATGATTTTTGGGGCAATTAAATGAGGAAAATAGATTTTGTTTGTTTTTTACATTTTAACTAAGCATATGAAGGTAGATACTTAAAAAGTTTTGACAATCGGAGTCAAAGGTTTTAGGTGACCATGCATTATAAAACACAGATATATATCAGCCCATCAGTAAGGTTCTCCTTTTTATGCTCCAATTTCCAACTAAGGTTAACATTTATATCATAAAATCCAGTTGCGGAAGCCTTGTTACTAAGTCCGTTGAGAGGATATGATGCCATGGTATTCAATCCTTTACTACTACTTATTCGTGGTGCATTTTAGAAGCATTTGCTTCCATTGTAGGTGCCTACTCAACATGATGCAAATCAGGAAAAAGTACCTCATAAGGGAAACTAGGACTAGTAATTTGTTGGAACAAAGCCTTCTGCTAGTAAGAAGGTAAGAGATCTCATACCACACACTCAAAAGGCTTTGTTGAACGAAGATTTTTTCACTTTAGGATGTTGGACGGAAAAAATGTTGCCCAATCCTCATCCTTGTTTCCTTATCATTCTTTTTCAAGTGAGAAGAAATACTCTGCCTTGTCGGTGGCACTAAAAGAAGTGAGCTAGAAGCAGAGAAGATTGGGACTTGAATATTTGTTTTTTGAAGACAGCGTCTTACAAAAGCAGGATATACAGGTCCGTGTTATTGCAAAAGCTTGTCTTTTTAAACAATCACACGAAATTATTTCATCATCTTATATGCGTTACAATTTGTTACTGAGCTAAGTCTATAATGAATTGTCACATGATAGCGAGATGCTAATGCATCAAAATGTGTCAGAATATTGTATTTTCTGGCAATTTACACATTGGTTTGTTTTTAGAAACCAACGCATATTTCACATTGGGTGTAACAAGTGGATCAGCTTTACCAAGGTAAGAGACGGACAAATTTGACTTCTTGCGTCTCGTAGAAACGAGTCGCTGGTAATACCCGTATCTCTACTGCTTACCAAAAAATATATATTTATGGTTAATTGATATATTTTTCAATTATACCATTTAACCAACCGTGAGATGAAGATGTAGACCCTCAATTGCCCGTTGACCAATTGAAATTGCCCAACAGATCAGCCAATCATCAGCCAGCATCGGCTGTATGGCATAGTCTGTGAACATAACATTCGAACGCTTCTCATTATTACGTTATGACCAATTTAGAGGGAGAAAACAATGCGCTTCCAAACTGTTCACTCTATTGGGACAGTTATATTAGCGTCAGATTCCTGGAAACATGTCAGGTGGATCGAATGGAGGCAATTGTGTACCCCAGTTTCGCTCGCCTCTACGTGTCCATTTCTCTCTCCGTCCTTGGCGCTTTTTTTAACCTGTGGGCTCTCATACTCCTCCTATTGGACTATCACAGTCCCCATTTAAAGTATAACCAATCAAAAATACACTCAAAAATCTGTTCCACTGGAACAAATCACAAGGTTCAGCACACCAGCTCAAGGCGAACCACCATGCAAGTTGGACTCATCATATTCTGCCTTTTTGAGGTCCTTTACCATGCCGCTTCTTCCAGCGGTGAAGTAATCAACCTCTTTGCGTACAATGCGATAAAAAAAGGTACCATTCCTATGCCAGCTAATGGGAGTCTCACGTACATTTACTCGGTTCTACCTCCGGTGTCAAGCTTCTTTAATTGGATTCGAGATACAGGAATTTGTGGACGCAATTGGGCTATCACACTAATCACAATCGCAAGAGCCGAGGTGGTTATCTGGCCGCTTGCGTCACGTTGTTATCAGAGGTGCTTACGACAAAAACGGTTCTTCCTCCTTCTGATGTCTTTGTTCGCTCTCACCGGTATAATTATTTCGGGGACACGTCGATTTGATCAGAAAATTAGCGTCTGTTATAGCACACGACTATCCTCTTATTGCATCTTTTCAGAAGTATTCCTCCTATCCAATTTTAAGCAATTTTCTGCCGTTTATTTCTCCTTTCAAACCCTACTTCCTTGGATGCTCATTTTGATCTTCACAACCCTTATCATCTTTCAACTAAAGCCATGCAAAAAGCACTCGGAAAATTCGATCCGCCGACTGACCAGTAAATATGGAGGTAGAGATAATCATCTTCGTGCTTCGATTGCAGTTACGGTTATTGCGGTGTTCTGCACGATATTTGAATTTCCGACATTTGCTCTGTCCATGTACTACATCGCAAGTGATCCCGATGAAGCTCTAGAGCTGTGGGATACAATTGCAAATACTCTCCTTCAAATAGACTCTATCGCAAATTTCTTCCTTCTCATTATTACTATGCCATCTTTGCGAAGGCGTCTACGAAGATCCTTTCCAATACATGCTCAACGGAGGGAGCTCAGCGCTCCCGAACCTCGGACTATTGTAGCAGACGTGGAGATAACATCCAAGGGTAGAGACTGAAGGAGTCCACTTATTAATGCACTTGATCTTGTAAATAGTATTTCATAATTGAGACGTTTTTATCTCATAATCTTGTCATTTGATCGCCTCTGTTGCCGTTGTTGTGTGTGCGTGTAAACTAGTCGATTTGTTCATATGCCTACTTTACCCTCTACTGCGCTAAGAAAAGCGCCATAATGTACTTTGGTGGATGTTCGGAGTATATCCTTCTTATTGTATATAGTGCTCATTAAAACACGAGTTCTTAACTTATGCATTTGGTTTTTTTAATCTTTCATTACATAGAGGCAGCACAAATCAATTTGGAGGGGTAAAATTGGTCACTATAGCACCTGGTTCTGTTTATACATTAATAGATTTAGAAACAGTCCTGTTTTATGATTTATTTATGTTATTCTTAGAAAAAAATGTGGTCCATAAGCAAAAAAATTTATAACAAATCGAACAATAAATAATCTACGAAGAACTTCTTTGAACCATTCCCGACAAGACAAACTAGCTGAAAATGCCACATCTTTAGAAGCCAGTGGTCTAAGTCTGCTTCTATTTCGCTTTTACTTAACTATTTTTCATGTTGCTGTTTACTTTTTATCCGAAAAGAAGGTAATGGGAGTAACCTGGAAAAATAGGCACAGGGGAATACGGATGTGTGAATCCTCCCACAGCTAAGTTTCCTAACATGCGGCAAGAAATGCTACAGTCTTTAACTTATTCATTAGTCAAGTTGCGTTTTGCTGTACCAAACGAAAAGATCGCATCAGATGCAAAATTCTGTCTACAGTCACCGGACGCGGTCATCTGGAAATGAAAATGGTGCCTCATTAGCGTGGTATAGTTTGTAGATGTGGATTTTTCACCCGCGTAATGAATGTAGGATCGCAAAAGTCATTTGTTGTTTTTCAAGCCATTTGGTGAGTCAGCAAATTGCCTTTTCTCATTAGTAGGTGGAAAGTGCGAAGACTAGTAAATTACTGGTCTTTGAGGCTTAGAAGTTATTCCTTCTTCTACTTTCCCTTTGCTTAGGGAATCAACAAACAGTTTCTTTTTTTAACTATCCACACCACTCTATTGCTTTGTTTTCTGTCTTATTTTTGCTTCATCTGATAAAAATCCAACCCTAGTTTATTGGGAATATATCTAACTGAACGGCTTTAAAGTACCGAAGTGTCACTGATGTGACGCATAAGTGATCAAAGTACACCGTTAGGTTTGGCGGCAAGGAAAAAAATAATACAGTAGACCTCATAGAATCGACCTATTCTTCTTCGAACTCCGTCTTCTACGGTAGAAATATTTTAAGAAAATATGCGAATAAAAAATGATTTTTTGTATACACATTACCAGAAGGTTATGTGGTCGAATTGGCTGCTTAATCGGTAAAAATGAAAGGCCTGTGTAGTTGACAAACAATAAAATGCAAATCACATCACCACTTAGCCTCCTCATCCTTTGAACCTCCGCTTCAGCCGCTTCTCGTAATCACCCCTCCTGCTTAGGGCGCATTGAGTCCCATATGTGAACTCCAGCCGACCGCTAGGCAGGATCAAAGATAACGTAGGGAGTGGGTTTACCGGGAAGAGCATTACCTGTTGGTGGCAGTGTGTACAGCAAGTTTGTTTACAATTTCTGAATATCACGCTCCTTGAGTGGCGTACTGTATGAGAGGGGTGGGAGGGAGTTTCAAATGGAAAGCAGCGCCATAGGCTAGACGATGTTTTACAGCAAGCATAGTCATTCTATCAATAGGTTTTAGTGGTAATATTTACTAAAGGCAAGTTTGAAGTAAAGATTTTGTGTTTTGTGACTACGATCTGCACTGCTTTATCCCTTTAAAGAGCTTTATTTAATTCTCATTACCATTTATTGTGAAGAATTCAAATTTTGCCTTATTAGCACGTCTGTGATATCTCCACACCTATTTTTAACGTCAAGATCGTTAATGCTAGTACCTAATCAACAAAATTATGCGAAGATTTGACGTTATTTCCACCAAAGTGACGCTTTGAGGACATTTCCGACCCCTAATGGGGCCTCATGGTAATGCAACTAAAAAAAGTAACATTGAAGTAGTTGATTTGTTTAATCAAAAAAGATAATATTCATTACCGAACTTAAGGAACAATAAAATGAATGATTTCAGACAGGTTACTACTGAAATTTTAGATGTAACGCATCTAAAGACAAGGTCTGAACATGATACTTTTTCGTTAATAGCGCATTTAACTAGGCAGACCTTTATGGCGCTGCAAGTTCTACTTCCGATTGCCATCGTGACCTTCCAGCCAGGCTCCTAGAGGTCCACTTCTCTCCTATGTTAGTAATAAATTTTCTACAGTCCCTGAAAGGGGAGGCTTGTTTACGACTGCAAGAAAGACGAGGAATGCTGTAGTGAAGTAATTACAGAAATCCCAGTAGATGTCCTCTTATATCCACAATAAACATAGATCAAATGGTAGCGTTTCGGCGTTGATCTATAGCGTAAACGTTTAAGGGAAGTGGCTTTCAAATGGGTGCATAACAACATGAGGTACAAATCCTCATTGTGTCTAGCTACAGAGAACATGGACGTCTTGAATATTATCATCCGCCCTATAAGCTTAGCTATAAAATGATCAACTAAAAGCAGCTGCTGCCATCACCGATTTGGTTAATTAATTCCAGCGTAGATCCATCGGGTTTATTTCAGACACCGCTAATTTGGGCTGTAGGCAGGAGTGCTGGTACGCATGTGCAGTAGCGCGTTGATAACGCGGTCGTAAAACACCAACCTACCAGTGCTTGCTGGTGAGGAAGACCTTATGAACAGTCACATAAATAGAACCGAAGCGTGGGTATTTTAGCAGCATTTCAAAGCCTACAGAAGTCAGTCAGTGTCGAGACCACCTAGACAACATGTGTAACATGCTTGATTCTCAGACACCGATCAGTGCACTACCAGCTGTCAAGTGAAGGAATTATCCAAGAGGTGAGTTCTTCTACAGCCATGATAAATGCAGTTATTAGCGATCACATCATCACCCGCCTCACAAAAACAACACACTGATATCTTGCTGCAAGGTCCTGCATTACACTTTTCTTTCCTTGCGTTATGTTACCTCCGATTAGTCGCCATTGTGAAGAGGATTTCAAGTGTTTTGCTTTACACGCACTGAAGTGTTAAGCCAGCAGCACTGAAGGTCATCACCATTTGTCACTCATCTTGGTTGCGTCTAGGAGGCCAAATGCTGCCGTCTTCTCGGAGGAGTGCCATCTATCATGCTTTTATATGGCATTTCCAAGGGTGCTCACTTCAAGTGCTCATTGGTCTACCTTCAGCTCTTCTTGTCCTTTCTATTACCTTTCGCTGATTTATATGCCCGCTGAAGTTAAATATCCTTGATAGCAGCTCAGTAGAGATTTTCTCAACTCGGCACCTATCACAAAAAGTAGAGAGTTGAAGCCCCCATCATAATGGCATTTTGGCCACAAACGAGAGGAGGATGGACTAACTGTGCAGACTGGATCGACTGGCAGGGCGGAAATCTGTACCGGCGTGAGGAAGGCCCACAGACAAACCTATCCATAGAGTATCTTTCCGCCTATTAATGGAT